TAATATACCCCCCATCATGGTTAAGTATCAAAAACATTCTGAGTTAAAGAAACTCAGAAAAGAGTACACACTATATGAGTCCTATTTTTAAGATTCTAGAAAATGTAACTTACAATGGCAGCAGGTAAATAGTGGTTGCCTGTGGCCGTGGGTGGGAGTGCAACTGACTGCAAATAGGAACACAAGGGAACCGCTGGCATTGATATGTGACTTGATTGTGGTGGTAATTCCATAACTATTCATTTGTTAAAGTCACCAAACTAGACACTTTAATGGATCCAGTTTGTTTTATGTAAATTTTGCCTCAAAAAGTTGATTTTAAAAAATATTTGGAAAACCAGGGATTTCTGGGTAACCAGAGAAAATCTGCTCCAAATATTCATTGCTGATTTTTGTAACTCTTCACTTACAGACAGCTTAATATGAAGTAGCCAGTCTGATAAATTCTTTAATGCATTAGATTACTTCTGTCTACACTCCTATGAGGAATGTAAAATTCCCCCTTACAGTTGAGGGAACTAGAGTTTGGAAATTTTAAGCAATTTGCCCAAATTCACGTAGCTAGTCAATGGAGCTTTTTAGAAATAACTAGCAATTGGATGGTATATCTCAGTCAATGTGGCACATAGTAGAGGGTCTTATAAAATGAGCTCTTCTAATTAAACAAAGGCACACATGACAATTGCAATACTCTGTAGAAACAAATTCAGACCTTCCTGAAACGATGTCCTCTGTCTCCCTCTTTACATTGTTGTGTTGATGTCATATCTTAAAATGACAGAGCTAATAAGTGGAAGTCAGGATCTAAAGGGAAGAAAGTAAACTAACGATGTTAAAACAAGTCAGGTGGCATGTGAGTTCCTGCTCCATCCCATTTAATTTTCACACCAATTCTGCTCATATGTATTGCTTCCTTCCATCTTACGAGTTCACAACTCATAGGACACAGGACTGTGTCCCAGTGTCCAAATAAGACATGGAGGAGCCAGGATTCAAACCTGGATTAACTTGGCTCCAGCATGTGAAGTTTTCTGCTACTCCTTGTTGCCTCCACATCTGGCTAGCATCCTGTGCTTTCCTAAGGGTAATGGGGAACCATCGAGGAATTTTTAAGAAAGGCCACAGTATCATCAATAAGCAATGCTATGGGCACATGGGGAATCGAGAATTTTATTAACATTAATGAATTAAGCACACAGTGATTAAATATGGCTTCCCTGTTACATGTCAAAAAGTGAAAAAAATTAGTTGCTTTTTTCCTTAAATAAGTTGCTAGCCTTGTGCCTCAACTGCACAGAAATTGGTTGAAAAGAAAGTAATGATGTGCATAAACAGCTGTTGGTTGAGGTTGGCAGGATATTCCAGGAATGAGATGAATTTAGGAGAAAGATGGCAAGGGGAGAGAGATTCTACAGATTTGGGGCTTTAAAGGATTGGAAACTGCTTTTGACTCCATACTACATTAGGAATTGAGTTTTAGGTATTTCTACTGACAAGTTCTCTTATCAAATAGCCCTAGGGAGAAATACCAGATTGAGGGTATTATCTTAACAAACGAGTTAATTGTGCCCTTCCAAAATTTACGTGTTGAAGCCATGTCCCCCAGCACCAAAATGTGACCTTATTTGGGGAAAGGGTCTTTACAGAGGTGACCAAATTAGAGTGAAGTCATCAGGGTGAGCTCTAATCCAGTTTCACTGGTGTCTTTATATTTAAAAAGGTGCGGAGAATTTGGACACAGAGACACACATAGAGGGAAGATGATGTAAGAGACACAGGTAGGAGATGAGTCTACAAGTCAAGGAGAGAGGCCTGAACAGCTCCTTTCCCCACAGCCTCAGGAAGAACCAATTTTGCCAGCACCTTAGTTTTGTACTTCCAGCCTCCAGAACTGCGAAACAACACGTTTCTGTTGTTTTAAGCCCACACTCTGCAGTACTTTGTTATAGCCCAGGAAACTAAGGCACAGCTTTACATAAAATTGTAGCCAACTCACTGGCACTGCAAATCCCCTTTCCCATTCTTTTTACTTTTTCCATTGTACTTGTCACTTTTTAAAAATCTATCTACCTATCATCATCTCTTATCTGTTTTCCTTTGTTGAAATGAATGCTTCACAAGGGATCTTAGTTTTAATTACTGATGTATTCTCTGTGCCTAATACATTGGGTGGGTCATAGTAGGCATTCCATAAATATTGGTTGAATGAATTAATGAAGAATCAGCATTCATCCACTGAATCTGGAAAGGGGAATGCCATAAACTTATGGCCAACCAATACCTAAACATATATAGTTGTTTTAGCAAAGAGAAAGGGAGGGATAGGTACTGGATAGTGAAGCAAAAGGGCATGTCACATGGAAATACCACTTTATATATTATAAAGGGTTTTATATGGAATTTGGCGATCAAAGCCTAAAATGTGTATGCAAGACCAAAGGGATAAAAATAACACATTTTGAAGAACAACAATAAAGGGCTTTGATCTACTATATATCAAGGCTAATGATAATAATAACAGGCTGATGATGTATTGGTATAGTGTAGAGTTAGGACTTAGCAAACAATGGACCATATGCCAAATGTGGCTTACTGTCTACTTTTGTAATTAAAATTTTACTGAAACACACACATGCTCATCCATTTATATATTATATATGGCTACCTTTGTGCTGCAATGGCAGAGTTCAGTAGTTGTAACAAACTATGGCCCACAAAACCTGGAACATTTACTAACAATGTTATGTAAGGGCTGAATTATGTCCCCCCCAAATTCCTATGTTGAAGTCCTAATCCCCAGTAACTCAAAACGTGACTGCGCAGTGTCTTTAAAGTGTAAATATTTTAAGCTAAAATGAGGTTATTAGGGTGGGCCCTAATGCAATGACTGGTGTCTTTATAAAAAGAGGAGGTTAGGACACAGACATGCAGGGGGAAGACCACATGAGGACACAAGGAGAAGATGGACACCTACAAGTCAAGGAGAGAGGTCTCAGAAGAAACCAGCTCTGTTAACACCTTGCTCTCTGACTTTAAGCCTGCAGGACTGGGAAAATAAATTTCAGTTGTTTAATCCATCCACGCTGTGGTACTTTATTATGGCAGTCCTCCCAAACTAATACACTGGCTTTTTACAGAAAAAGTTTGCAGATTCCCATCATAAACTAATATACATGGAACAAAATAGACTGATATCCAGCTCATGTGTATGCTGTAGGCCAAAAAAACAAAAAAATGGCTCCTGAAGATATCTATATCCTAACCTGGAACCTATGAATATGTTATCCTACATGGCAACTTGCAGAGGAACTAAATTTGTTAATCAGCTGACTTTAAAATAGAAAGATTAATCTGGATTATCCAAGTGTGCCCAAAGTTATTACTTAGAAGTGGAAGACAGGCAGAAGAGGCTAGAGTTACGTGATGTGAGCAGGACTCAAATGTTGCTGATTTTGAAGATGGAGGAAGGGACCATGAGCCAAGAAATGGAGGTGGCCTCTAGAATCTGGAAAAGGTAAAGAAAAGAATTCTCCCCGAGAGCCTCCAGAGAGGAATGCAGCCCTGCCAACACTTTCAGCCTATTAAGACCTGTGTCAACTTTTGACCTACAGAACTATTAAAGATACTACATTTTTGTTGTTTTAAACCACTAAGTTTATGGTAACTTGTTACAACAGCATAGAAAACTAACAAGAATTTAGTATACAACAGATTGTTTAACGTCAGTGGGCAAAGGATGCTTACTCTACACTGCAGTCTAAAACTTTGAGTCTTTCCATATTTAGTATTTAGGATTTATTTTAAATGTGAGACAAATGTTTTTTCTATTGTTGTATAGCTATCTCATTGTTTCTGCACAATTCATTATAAAGTTTTTCTTTTCCACAACACTTTCCCCCAATGTTTTACTAGAAAAATTTGCAAACATACAGAAAAGTTGAAAGAATGTTACAGTGAACACTGATATTCTCAAGCTTAAGATGATATTTTCTGTGTTAAATATGTACTGATGGTACAAAAGCAATAGTGGGTAAAACTATGGCACTCAGCATGCATCAAAAAACAGCATTAAAGTGTGTTTATTATTAGCCATTGTATTCATCCCTACATTCACAGGTAAAAAAAAATAGGGGGGGGGGCTGGATTTAACTTCAGAATGTGTATGATGGAGCAGTAAATAACTTAATTCTCAACTCTTGATTACTTCTTAATAGCTGTGCAATAAACACTCTGTGCTGCATATGAAAAGTCCATAGTTATCTCCAGAAAACACTTGTGTAATTGATTTGGGAATTTTGTCTGAAAGGACTGAGAGACAAGGCACACTTGGGGATGCAGCAGACATTTTCTCAAAAATCAACCAGGTCAGCTGGTAACTTCATGGAACACAATTCAAGTATATTTCTGCCAATATAAAATCAGTCTTTTCAAATGAAAAATAGAATTTTGGAAAACTTGTATTTGCTGCTGTGATGTTTGCAGCTTCCCAATACTTAAGATCAATGGCAATATTAATAGGTATGATTTTTCATATTGTAGAATGAAATATGTCAGCATCTGAAAGCTCTGCATCAGTCAGTGAAGCAGGATTTTCCAAATGACCAATGCATGATGTTAAGATATACGATACAATAGAAAAAGTTCCTTTGCAAGGTTCCAGATCGCACACTGCAGCTAAACTATCCCTTGTTTACCTTGTACTAAGAATATCCACAATAACCTGTTAAGTAACACCCTATCCTTTTTCCAGCTACCTATCCGTGTGAGGTCAGATTTTCTTTATATACTTCCACAGAAACAACATATGTAACAGATTGAATGCAGAAACAAATAGGAAAATCCAACTGTTTTCTATTAAGCCAGACATTTAAAAGATCCCCTACTCAGTAATTCAGAAGATAAATTTTCATTAAAATGTCACTTGTTAACATACTCAAACATAAATCTTTGAGTAAAGTGTAAATTAGGACTTTTACCATTTCGGAAAAGCGGGAACCTTAGGACATTTAATTTTTAGCTCAATATTTAGCATTCATGCTTTCAGGCTATTGCTGTTCATTACCGTGCGTTGGTTAACCAAGGCGTGCAAAGCCCAAGGACCAGGTGGCAGCGCCTGCGCGTCATGGCTGTGCTCAGCGCAGTCCCGCCCGAGCGTGAGGCACTCCGCAGAGCCTTCTGGGAGTCGTAATTGTTCTGCTCTCGGGCCGCAGTAACGCATTTCCTGTGCGCCCCTAATAGCTGCCGTTGGCTGGATGCGTGCTGGGAGACCGTAGTTCTGCGTTTGGCGTCGGTTACCTGTCGCAGTTACCTGAGCTGGGGCGGGCGCCACGAAGTCAACAGCGAGGACGGTACAGATCTGGCTGCTGATCCGGGAGGTGGAGACAGTCTTTCTTTATCCCTCTGCTGTCCATTCAGGAGTTGGAGCCACGCGCCCCGAATTCTCCCCGTTTCAGGTGGCGGGACCATACGTAGGCTCGTCTGTCTCACTCCTTACTGCCCAGACCAGGAACGGTGTTCTGACCCCATCGCGTGTATGTTGGTGGGAGACGGACGTGGGGAACCCCGTGGCTGCGTGAGGGAAAGCGTCTCGGCTGCGGGAAGGGAGGGTGCGGGGTCCTCGGGCTCTCCCTCTGTGGGGCCAGGAAGGTCTTCTCTGTTCACGGTTGGGAGCCGAGGGAAGACCGCTTACCTCACGGTTCTGTCTTCTCCAGCAGTCCTGCCACCCCCGGGGGGCGCTCAAAATTGACCGTGGGAATGGCCACCAGGGTTCGGACAGCTGCTATCTGGGTGAGTAGGGTTTTTTCTCTCCTGTTAAGTCGTCCCTGAATGCTGGCGTGTACACACATTCCATGTCTTCCACAGTCAGAGCTGGCGGTGAGCTCCCTCTCCACCTCTCTTCCAAGCCAGTAGTACCCCTGTAGCAGATATTAGATCCTTCAGGTATGTGTCTTTTCATCAGACTTATAATTTGCTCCTTCTTTGTTTTATGACAATTTTGTACCCCGAACTTTGAGTTAAACAAGAGGTAATCACCCATTTTTTCAACACATTTACTCGTTTTCTATGTGTAAGGTCTTTGGGCCGCATTTGGGAAACTATTGTTTATTCGCCTATCAACGGTTTCATTTCTTTTGTTTTCTGGACCCTGAAGCAGATTCTAATAGTGCAAAGATAAGTTGTATATGGTCCCTGCCTTGGAAGAGCAGTGGTTTGGTGGGATGGTGGACAAGAAAGGTATAGGTGCAACGACAGTAGGCACTCTGAGGACAGACAACAAAGAATCAGTTTTGGAAGTAAGGACTCTTAAAGAAATTCTGCAGAGATTTTAATAAGAGATGTTTACACTGAGGTTTGAAAGATAGATAAGGTGAACAAGGGACTGAAGTTCAGCCTAGAAAAAGGAAGCAAGTTGCACATTTTGAGGAGCTTGAAATGGCCTAGTATGTTGGTGAACTTCGAACACTTAGGGGTTAGGGGTTTGTAGGTGGTGGTGGTGGTGGTGGTGATGGTGGAGTGTATGCTAAGAAATGAGGCCAGAGCCATGCTAGAGACCAGATTACAGAGGGATTTGAGAATCACATTAAACATTTAGATTTTATCCTCTAGGGAAGAGAGACTTGTTGAAGTGTTTCCCCAGAGGAATTTTGGTTGGAACAGTCTGCAGTAGGCAAGAGAAGTCAAGGGTTTCAGTAAACTACTGGTTTTGAGGAAAGAGATGGTAAAGAGGCAGAAGCAACTGGATTTGATAACTAGTTGGGTGCTGATGGTGAGGGAGCCAGAAGAGCCAGGGATGACTGCTGGAGTTCTCTGTGGACCTGCATTGGGTACCATTCACTGAGTCAGGGAAGACTATCAGAATTATTACTGAGGGTGTGGAGATTTCTGTTTCATATGGTGCTAGTGGGTAAGTGGGTAGGTATGTGTCTCATGAGAAGGGTCTAGACTGGTTACACTGATTAGGTGTGGCCAAATTAGCTTAAGAAGAGTGTATACTGTGAGAAGAGGATGGAGGAGAGTGCTCAGGGAATTGACAAGGGAAGGCAGTGGAGAAGGGGCTGGAGATTGAGATGGAGCCCAGTAGAGATGAGAGAAAAAGATTTGTGTTTCAAGTTGAAGGAAAAAAAGGTCCTCAGAAATGGTTGCCATGTGATATACCCCAGGAAGGTCAAGTAACATTAGGTTGTAAAAGTTTAAATTGGATTTAGTGGTAAGTGGTGGATGTTGCTGGTAATATTTCCAGAGCAGAATGTGAGCACGTATGTATGCTGGGCAGGAGAGGAAAGAAAAGGAGTGGAGTAGTGGGAACAGTGGTTGACTGTAGAAATGGGAATGAGGCAGTAGGACAGTGATGCAGGCTTAATCGCGGTGCTCTGCTGTGACGGGAAGAGAGTGAGAGACTCAGGAAAATCTAAAGGTACCTTGGTACAAAATCCGTCAAAAAATCAATAGATATACTAGTTATAAATGTTGTGCCCTGTTTCCTTGAGTCCCCCATGTGGAGCTGCAGTCACCAGACTCAGTCGCCAGATGCAAGAGCAAAACAGGTCTTTATTGCTAGTTCGAACTAGGGTCTCAGTGGCCCATCAGAACACAGGACTCGGTCTGAGACCTTGAACAAAGTTCCCTTTTTTGCTTTTATACTTTTGGAACAGTTAGGGGCTTTCCAAGGGGGGTGGTTTATTGTGACCTTAGCTGATTGGCTGAAGAGGGTCAAGGTCTTGTTGCACAGGTTGCTGGGCATGGTTTCCGTGGGAATGGGCGTGGCCTGAGCGGGAAACTTCTTACTCAAGATGGAGGACACAGAATAAAATGGAGGCAGGGGTCATGTAGGGGACATAGTTATTCAATATGGAGGGCACAAAATGGAGGCAGGGGTTCCACATTCCCCCCCTTTTTTTTTGTGCCTGGGCATTCTTGTCCCACTATGGGTCTACATTCAGTTGGTGACATTGGTGGTGATGCAGCTTCAGCTTAAGGGGGTTCTGCGGGTGCATTTTCACTGTCCACTGTTCCCCAGCAGGTGCGGGTGTGTTCTCTGGGTTGGCTCACTGGACAAGCGAGTAATGGATCTACAGCCCAATGCCGTCTACCTTAAGGGCTGTAGGGGTAGTAAGGAGTACAACATAAGGCCCTTTCCACCTAGGTTCTAAAGTTTTGGAACAGTTATGTTTCATCCACACTTCTTCCCCTGGTTCAATGTCATGTTGTGCTTCCTGGTGGGTGGGTCTCCCCTCAATAGCTCATAAGAGGGGCCATACCTCTCGGTGTACTTCTTGCAGCCTCTTTAAGGCCTCCTGAAGGGCCGGGGGTCCCAGGGATTCAGGAGTTGGGGCTGAGTGGGGTAGGATAGGAGGGGGGACCCCGAACATGATCTCAAAAGGGGTCAATCCTAACTGATAAGGCGTGTTCCGAGCCCGGAACAGGGCAAAGGGAAGGAGGGTCACCCAATCTCTGCCAGTCTCTAGTGCCAATTTAGTAAGGGTCTCCTTTAAGGTCTGATTCATCCTCTCTATCTGTCCTGAACTCTGGGGGTTGTACTCACAATGCAATTTCCAATCTACCCCCATGTGGGCAGCCACCCTCTGTATAGCCTCTGCGGAGAATGCTGGTCCATTGTCTGATCCTGTAGTCGAGGGCAGGCCATAGCTAGGCATGATCTCTTCCAGTAATTTCTTACCCACTACTAGTGCTATTTCTCTTGTGGTGGGGAATGCCTCCACCTACCCAGAAAAGGTAACTACTAACACTAGCAGGTACCGGTACCCATATCGGCCAGGTCTCACCTCGGTGAAGTCCACTTCCCAATGTTGCCCTGGTGCGTGGCCCCGAAGGCGAAGTCCTGTGTGTGTCCCTTTAACTCGGTCCGGTTGCATTACCTGGCATGCAGTACATGATCTCAAGAGAGCCTGTATGTGGGCCTTGGCCCCCGGGATCCGGATCTTGGCTTTTTCTAAGAGCACTCGAGTCTTCTTCTCACCCAGGTGGGTAGAGGAGTGCAAATTAGTTAGTATCTGGTTCCCCAAGGCCTCAGGTAATATTAGCCATCCGTCTTGGTCTCGGTACCATCTGGAGTCCATTTTCTCTATCCCGGGCTATCTCTTGACCCACTGCATATCGGAGGAGGAGTACTCTGGGGTGAGGGGAAGGGTCCCCATACCTGGCGGTGGTATTTGATGCAACTGTAGCCCGAAGACTTGAGATGTCGCGGCTTGTCGGGCATCCTCATCAGCCCTGTGGTTGCCTAAGGCCTCTGGGCTGCCTCCCTTTTGGTGCCCCAGGATGTGGACTGCCGTTACCACCTGGGGTTCACGTACAGCAGCCAGCAGGACCCCAACTTAACTTCTCGGCGGGTAGTTCATGGATAGCACTTAGTGCCCGTGGCCCCCTATACCCAGCTCTTCTGGGAGGAAATGGGTCCAGCACTCCGAGTTGTGACAGAGTGTTGAGCCCCGGTGTCCACCATAAAATGCATCGGTTCCCCCTCAATCTGTAGAGTTACCCAAGACTCAGGGAGGGGGCTCGAGTCCCGACCCCCTCAGTTGCTGTCTTCTCCTGCATACATCACCTGATGTCTAGGGGCCTCATCGGGTTTTTTGCCCTTTGCGTGGGGTGTGAGGACGATGCCGGCGAGGGCACTCATTCTTCCAGTGCCCCATTTCTTTGCAGTAGGCACACTGGGTGGGTCCTAGTTTTCCGGGAAAAGGCCCCACTTTTTCTCTATTCCAAAATAAGCTGCCATTTCCTGGGCAGGTGAGGAGTAAACCCCTCTTCCTTTCTCCTGTCTCTCTCCCTTTAAGGGGCCCGAGGAGCCTCAGGGCGGACGGCCATCCTGGGCCCCCAAGTGGAAAATGCGGGCTAGTTCCTTTTGATTTTTTCGGTTTTCTTCTGCCCTAACTTTCCTCTCTTCCATCTGGATCCTGTCCTCTCTTTCTTTGGGGGTTTCTTGGTTGTTGTAGACCCTCTCTGCTATTTGGAGTAGGTCTTGTATAGTCTGCTCCCCGAGTCCATCTATCTTCTGTAGTTTTCTCCTGATATCAGGGGTGGCCTGGTTAACAAAAGCTAAGACTAAGACGGCCCTTGTCTCATCTGTTGAAGGGTCTAGGGGAGTGTATTGTCTAAATGCTTCCATTATCCTTTCATGGAAAGCAGCAGGGCTCTCATGGGGCTCCTGTCTAACAGAATTTACCTTGGCCAAATTAGTGGGCTTCCTGGCGGCCGCCCAGAGACTGGCCATCAGAGTCTGCCGGTAGATTCAGAGACACTCCCTACCTTCTGCCATTTTGAAATCCCAGTTGGGGCACGTTAAGGGGAATCCTTCATTGATGAGGTGAGGCTGTATGGTGGGTCAGCCGTCTATGCCTGGCACCAGTTTGCGAGCCTCTGTCAAGATCCTCTCCCTTTCCTCTGTGGTGAAAAGTACCTTGAGGAGCTGCTGGCGGCCCTCCCAAGTAGGACTATGGGTAAAGAGGATAGATTCTACTAGGTCAATAAGACCCTGGGGTTTCTCGGGGAAAAAAAAAAGGGTGGGGCGCATTTTGTGTTTTCCAATTATAGAGATCACTAGAGGAGAGAGGCCAGTATTGATAGTTACGACCCCCATTGGGCCTCCGGAGCCTGATTGCTCGGACCAGAAGGGCTTGGACGTTGGAGTCATCCGAATCCATGTCCGTGGAGGCAGAGGATTAGCTAGTCTGGGGTCTACCCCTGGTAGCTGTCCCTGGGTGGGGAGGGCCCGATTGGGTTCAGGGTCCTCCAGAGTTGGACTGCCAGCCTGTGGATATGGGGGA